GTGATTTTATAACCTTGAGTATATTTATATTACACGTGTCTATGGAGAACAAAACGTAATACTTAACTGAAGTTTTCTTATATTAATTTATTAGTTTAATATGTCTATGAGTACAGTAAGTATAGGGTTATTTATTCATATCACACTTTTTATTCATTTTATGCACTCTTCTAATTGGATCGCTTAAATAACGAACCAAATAAAAAAGGTAATTAAATAAACTGTTTTTATAGACCTATTAATAGTTAAGTTTATTGTATCTATGAAAGCAATAGGTATAGGCTTATTTATTCCTATACTTGTTATACCTTCTATGCGCTGTTCTAATTGGTTGGGTTAAATTAACCGAACACAACAGGATTTTATTTTTATAGCTTTGTTAATGTAAACAAACAACACATTACCGTTTAGCCATGAATATAATGTGAGAGAACAAATTAATTAGGACTTTTCTCTACTCCTACCAAGTGTTTTCGAAAGCACAAGTTTCAAAGCCTACTACCAATATCTAAGGTAAGTCGTTGGATAAAATCTTTGCAAGAATGAAAAGCGCAACAACCGGCTCTTTTCGCAACTCCTTTCCAGGTGGCTTCGAAAACATAGAGGCTAATTGAAAAGAGCTTTAAAAATACAATCGATCGAAGTAACGTCCATTGGGGTCAAAATTGGGGTCAGAACTGGTCAAGGGAGATGGTCAACCCAGCTTCTGGATCTTCCACAATACAATGGCGAAAACAATACAGAACTGGTTCTCGGTTCTCCATGGGAAAAACCTACAGGGTGAAGTGGGATTCGGCGATAGTGGGAAAGTTTGGAAGGCACAGCGTCTCATCTAGAAAGTTGACTATCACTTAGATAATAATTGTAAAAAATGAAGCCAAACTTGCTTACGATTACAAGTGTATGTAGCTTGGTATTTTATAACTAAGCTGATGTTAAACAGAACATGAATCTAGACATGACAATCACTATGGAAATTAAAAATATATTCTAGTCTTTTTTGTCTTGTTTTTTTTTATATTTAAAATAAGTTTGCGACTCGGCTGATCCATTAGCTGAAGTTTTGAGCAATGTACTATTTTTCAAACCGTTAGGAAACAATAGGGAAACAGAACATGTTACTTATTTATTATTTTCTTGCCTTAATCGAGGAATTGACTATGGACCCTAAGTTTAAAGTATTAAACACTAGTGTACAGTTAGAATACATTTGCTCGTCATTCAGGCCTAAGTTAACAGTATTTATATTAATAAAATGTAGCCCTAATCGTCAATTAAAAATTAAACATGTTTATGTTGTCCAACTACAACTGAACCTACTAGATACTTGTAGTAGAAATATTTTTGAAGGAGCAAAATTACACAATCTTCCACAAGTATTGGTTGTACAAATAAATTCTTTTAGTTGAGGATTGTCACAACATTCGAGATAAAATTAAATAGATCAGTCAATGTCTGCTATGGATGCATTTGCAAACTAGAAATCGCTGCATAGCCCTTTCTAGTAGTTCATCTTTATAATGTAACATTTCACAGATAGTTTATTATATTATTGGAAACCAACAACTTTTTAATGATAGGTAGGCCTAATGCATTTCAAATAAACAGTTGTCTACGCTACAAGAAATATCGAGGAATAAACCTCTACCTGAGTAAAATATCGTTGTAAACTAAAAATCTCTAGTCTTTCCAAGTACTTTGTTTCCACGTTTACTAATCAACCGTTTTACCATTTTCATTATAGATAAATTATTTTTCAAACCAAGCCAAGTGACAACCCACCTACGAAATCACTCTGCTACGAAACGAATTAAACCGGAGTAAAAAAGCGGTTGTGAGCAGGTGGCCAAATTAGAGACCGAAGTGATAATTCTAGTGTCAACTGGACAATCAGCTGCTTTTAGCCTCTCATAATTTTCGTTACGGTTTTCGTGTAGTACACTTCTTATCTGGGATCGCGTATTTCAAGCCCTCCGCATCACCTGCCCCGGGTAGGCTGTCCGTCTTCAGTTGCCCGTCCACTCCCCAAGTTTCCGGCTGATCATTATCGCATGGATGTGTTTCGAAATTTCGTCGACTGCTATCGGCTGGATCTGTTACGGTGTTCATTCATAATTATGATTGAGAGCACGCGTACCGCCCGCCGACCGTGTCTGGGTGCGAGATTGAACTGGGTGTCTGGGTGTAACTGGGTGTCTGGGCATCTTGGGTGCAAAAGTACATGCTAGAGTGTAAGCTAGACACCTAGAGTCCACGACCAAATTGTTTTTCTGTGTGTCTTATATCGAAAGTTTCAAAATGGTACGCAAATTTAAGTCAGCATTAAACTGTCATTGTTCTGGAAAACAATCTTTGGCATAATATAGTACCTGTGTTTCATAAATGGTTATTTTTAGAGTATTTAATATTTGGGTTGTATCGATATTTTATTAGTATTAAGAGTATTCAAGAAAATCATGTTGTAAAAATATTTATTAACTTATACAAACCAGGTTTTGTGTAGTGTTAGCATGAACAAATAAATTCAAAAACGATCATTGTATTTACAATATAAAATAACCGTACACTACACAGAAGACGAGTGCCTATACGATTTTCTTTAATTTATAAGCTGCAAACCTTTTCCTAAAGCCGAGTAGCCTATAATTTAAATTACACATTTTTCCTTTTACAAATATGAGACTATACTGTTAAAACGTACGAAATCATTTTCATTTACAATGATCACTTTATTTTACTTTCATATTTTATATTGAAATAAGTTATTTTAGGCATAACATGAATCTAGAGCTTTGGAAATACAAATGAAATATCTTATGTTTAAAGTGTGACATGTAAAATAATATACAGAAACTGGAAAATGTGAATTTTCAACCAAAGCTAGTACTTAAGGCTGCTAAATCCTCCCTTCTACGAGCAAAGCTCGGACACCAAACACCAGATATGATAAAAATAAGTACATGTACTACAGAGAATGCCTTGTGGCTTCAGTTTATTACACTATAAATTCAACCGTAATCAAGTTGAGCATATAAACCTGCACGCGTAGGCATTGATTTTTACAGTTGCATCATAAACTTCAATGACGATTTGTTTATTAATAATTTCCTTGGTTTAAAGCTTCTTGACAGTAACACGGTTTCATGGAGTGTTTATGTAAGGTTTTATTAGTTTTATGAATTTATTATGTATCTTGACGGATAATGCTTTGGAATTATTTTTAGAAAAAGTGTGTATAGCTTGTTGATGATATAAAATTAAATGCGGAATGTGCTGAAAATTTTACTTCCTATGAAAGTGTGCGTGGTTTATTTTAAAATGCGTGTATGAATAGCAATACATTATGCAATATAACATTAATTGTTCGTTTACTATGGCATCCTTCTTTAAAATGTGATTCCATTTCTTCTTGACTTTAACCTGTCTTTTACTAAGAACATTAATCTAATTTTAGGAATGAGACTGAGTTGTCTTAAATAGGCCTAATCCATTCACGTTAACCCTCAATATCCAAACTGGTTGATTTTTACGCTCGAAATTAACTAAAGGAACACATGTCATATTACGATTTCGCTAGATGTATTTCTTTTGTTGTCTAAAATAATGTAACAAACTAGAAAGTGTCGTGATTTTATATTTGACAAAAGCTACAGTACCTACTCCATTTATGTCATCTTCATTTTCATAACTTCAAATCGTAAGAAACTTTGTCATACTTTTTTTTTATTATTCAAACTTAGAAAATATTACCTTGTCAAACCAGTCCATTTAACATGATTTTTTCCTTGTACCATAGTCGCCATTAAATGGCCATGTTAGTTGTATTCCATAATTCAATATATGCAATTTGTATAAAAAAATACTTTTACGTGTAAACTACGCTAGACACTTTGTGTAGGGCTTGTTTTATCCACTCAAACAAACTTTTCAGACAAAATACAAAAATATATTCTGCATTGTTTTCTTCTAAAAATATATACTTTACCTATTGAATTGTTAAATACTTTTCTGAGAGGTATAGTAAAATATTTAGAAGTTTTGTTTTAATTGTAAAAATTATTAACCTTTAGGCTGTAAACTAACAGTTCAAACTGACGAATCCAACTAGGATTGCTAACGAGATCTTCACATTATTTGTAGACCAATTATTTGTTTAAAGTTTTGTATCATTATTACAAAGATTGACAGGTCCTCAGAAGTCTGTTTATGTATACAAAAGAAATCTAACTCTTTTGTGTGACATAAAAATGTGATAGTTTTGTGATCTCGTACACTGAACATTAAGTGTCATCAAGAAGCCTTCATATTGTTTAATTAGGCCTGGAGCAGTTTGAATCTGTTTCAAAACATAGTATGGTTAACTACTAGTTGTTTGAACTTCTCTTTTGTCTGCACATAATTGAAACATAGCCTTTATAGAGTTTGATCTCAAATTGAGTGAAACCAAGTCATCAATAGGCCTACGCCTGAATATTTTTTTATTTCGGCATACAGTCTGTTTCAAAATATAGAATAGGTACCTCAGAATCTAGAACTTTTGTTTTACTCTCTTTTGTTTCACATAAAATTAAGATAGAGTTATGTTCTTATCTCATGTATTTTAGTATGACAAATTAATAAGAAATCTAGATAGTGTCAATTTTAGAACACTTTGAAAAACAAATTTCAACAATAATTTGTCTTGAACAAGTCAAGTGTTTACTCAAGTTCTAGTGAAATTCTGTTTGTTTTTTTTAGCTTCGTGCTATAAACCTGTAGGAATTTGGCTCACGCCTAAGTATGTTTTTAAACTTTTTGATGGTTTAACATAAAAATTACTTTTAAAATACCATTTTAGTGCATCAGCATGTTATAATTAAAAGAAACATCGCTCATAAAATGGGCTACTTGGAGCCATTATGGTGAATACACATTTTATAATTTTTCTATCAAACCAAATTAATTTAGAACATACTATAGGCCGGCTGTTGAAGGTGCCCAAATAAATACACTGATTGACGTATTATGACAAAAACACAATATTTATTTCTTAATAAATCCCTCATCAACTAGATTCTTTTGTTACACAAACGAAGCCCCCAAATAGGGAAAAGGAAAACAAAAATACAATAATCGATATTAAGAAACTACTGTACACAGGGGCTTCGCACTATACTATATTTACAATTCAGTTGATGATTGCATTTATATACTGTATTATATACAATATGAAGTAAAGTCAGTCCTGTAGGGTTTAGTGATATTGAGTTATAATCACAAATAAAACAACAAAACCTTAACGAATAAGTTAATAATACATACATTTGAAAAGCTAATCTAAATGACTAAAACATCACAACTCTTGCTACACACTGTTTTATACCAAATTAAATAATGCCCTATAATAATCATTCTAATGCTGTATACTCGATTTATTTAAGTCTACTTTTGCCTAACCGAGCTTGTTTCAGTTAATTAAATTTTCAGTGTGTTTTATAAGAACATATACTGCAAAAAAGACGTATAATTTAGACGTTAACGTTGAATCAAATATTTTTCCACAACGTTTGAAGATCTGTAAAAGCAAGTAGCCTGTGACAGTAGTTTTTACGTTTAGTAGATTTTACTCTAAGATCTTTAATCAACTAGGCTAATGATTATAATTTGAACTGCTATGACGGTTTAATAGTTACGGAAAATATAAAAAATTTATGTTTGTGCTTAAGTATAAGCAAATTGTTTAAAACTTACATTTTGTGTACGCTTATGTTATTCAAAAATATTTGGCATAGATCTACAAAAGATTTAATTAAAAAAAAAAATCCTTAATACACGTCCCACTTGTAACTTAGGTAATTGTGTTATAAACGGTGTTTTATTGACAAAAAAACTTTTGACCAAATGCCATTTTTTTATATTTAAGTCAAACGTCTAAAATAATGTTAACTAGCCTAATAAGTTGCATATTTTGCAAATTTTTAATCATTACAAATTAAGTGTATTGTGGCGTTTTAAAACATATCTTATTTTACTATCCTTAAATCATATCGAAACAACAAAACAAACAATTTATCTATTTTTAAATAACAAATACTAATAGGTAATATTTACTATTTTTGATCTTAAAACAATATTTTCATAAAATTAATGCGTTTGAACACTCTAAACTGACCAAGACCATATTTAAACCATTAGGATCTGAATACAATATAAATTACCCTGTTATGCGTTATAGTACATTAAAAATTGAATTACAATCAAATATTAACTGCAAATAAAATTCTAAATTTGAAAATGTTAAATATTTTGATAGGCCTGTAGGACTATATTTTATATGAATAAACAAAGAGATTGAACGCGATTTAATCTAAATTAAATCAAATAAACATCTACGTGTATGGGCAGTTTATTTTGATCTGAATATTGCTTGATGAAATGTACATTTTAATTTAGAAGTTCATTTGCAGAATGAACACATACTTATTGAAACATTGACTCGTAACGAAAATGAATTGAAAAAACATTCAAAATGAAACGATGGATTTAAAAGGTTTGTGCATATATACTTCAAAATCACTGAATGCACAAGATCACAATCTATTTTGGTATGACTTAGGTCTCCTAAGGACAGACCTAACCTCAACACTGGCCACTACACTGGATTGGAGTATCTTATGTTAGGAGAAATGGAAGTCTCCTACCTTGAGAACGATGCTGCACACGATGAAAACACGGCGTCCTGCAGGGTTCAATCTTGGGCACTTTGATGTTTCACAAAAATAATTTTATTTAAAACACTGTCACTGTTCTGGGGGGCTTATAAACACTTGTACTCGATTTCGATGGTCCGTGAGAAGCTGATGACGTTGTTATTCCGGCAACAGTTTCTGGGTGTAATTTATCTTTCGAATTTAGAAGGTTTTTCGGATTCGGGCCTGGACGAAGTCAAGATTTATACTCAGGGAATTCCGAGCGAGGAACTCAGGTGTGCTGGCTAGGGTCTGTGCCATAAAATTCTCGTTTTGACACTTCCAAAGGGAGTCATTGTTAGTCGGCCCTTTGTAGAAGGTCGGACAGGGCGATGTGCCTTTGTGGACCCACACCCTCCGATACCTGGCCTCGGCTGGCCGAGATTCTTATCGTGTCTGGCCCCTTTTTGTACCTCGACTAACGTTTACGGTCCAAAACTCGCTTTGATTTCGCCGTCGAGGAATCATGTTTCGATCGGGTTATCAATAAATACCAAAGCCGTAAAATCGGGAAAAATCTTTAAGTATTTCGAGAGGCAATAATTTATGTCCGTTGTACTTACTGGAATGTCCAATGGTGGTAAACATTAACTATAGGCCACTGTCGGAGATATAGTCTGTCCTAGGGTAACCGGAACTTAGCGGAAATATTTACAGTTTCTATATTCAGCGTCTATAAACACAGACAGTCCCCTTTAGAAAATACACATCGAATATATAAACGATCTTATTCCCCCCGAACAAATCTACACCGTTTTCACAAATATTTACGATACACTTTATTTACATCTGTTAAATGTCCATAGGCACCCGCGGGTGCGGTAGCGACACAGCAGGAATTGAAAATGTCCATCCTCACGATCTAATCTCCAGGCATAAGAAAACAAGGCACGCGGCATCTTTAAAACATTGTCCGGCCGCATATGCGATGAATTCTTATTAATTATGCACACAAATCACTCCCCACGTGCGTCCTCCCCCTCCACACTCCGGGGTTTGAGCAGTCGGGGTGTCCGGCGAGGGCACACTGGGCTTCCAGGTTACACGTACTCTCGTTGCATCTTGGAGATATGTCGTGAGTATTCAATATCCCACTGGGCTAAACGTTAGTGAGCCGCAAGCGATTGGTGGGTGGGCATCGTCTGGGGCGACAGCATGGGCGGGCTGTGGGAGTGCGAGTGAGGACCCATGGGTGACCCATGCATGTCCTGATGATGGTACTGGTGCAGTCCGTGGGCGCCGGGGTTCATCTGTCCGTCCAACATCCCGTCCTGAGGTCCTAACGTGTTGGGAGGCGTCATCCTCTTCTCCTTCTGTCTTCTGTTGCAGAACCATACCCTGACCACTTCCTTCTCCAACTGTAGACTATCCGCGAGGGAGGTTATCTCTTGCGCTGAGGGTTTAGGCTGCTTGTGGAAGTGTTGTTCTAGGGCACCTTTCACCGACACTTCTATGCTCGTTCTCTTTTTCCTCTTCCTCCCCTGGGCAGCTATTTTGTCGATGCTCGTAGGGGATCCCGTCGTAGAGTCCGCTTCTTCAAGCCACTTCTGGAGCAGGGGTTTCAGTTTACACATATTTTTGAACGATAACTGCAACGCTTCGAATCTGCATATCGTTGTTTGTGAGAACACGTTTCCGTATAAAGTACCCAGTGCGAGACCCACATCCGCTTGCGTAAACCCCAACTTTATTCTTCTCTGCTTGAACTGTTTGGCGAAGGCTTCCAAGTCGTCGGAGGTCGGGGCGTCCTCTTCGCCTCCCGAAGGCGCGTCTGGGTGCTGGCCGGGCGGGTATGAAGGGCTGTGGTTCTGCATGTCCCTGAGTGTGTGATGCAGCTGTGCCGGGCTGGCCTGGTGGTGGTGTGCCAACATACCGTTCATGGCTGCATGGTAGGCGCTGTGAGCGTGATGCTGTAGAGGTGACCCGGCGCCGTTGTTGTAGCTGGACACGACGGGAGCGTGCCAAGTGTGGGGCGACGCCATACCTTGCTGGTGTCCTCTGTGCATGTCCGGGGGTTTGATGTCCACCGTGGCGGTCTGGTGAGGGTGGTGGTGGTGCGGATGATGGTTGTGGATGCCCATGGAGGCCGCCCACGGGTCCGCGGTGGCTCCGGGTTGTAGCGACACCCAGGGATTGTGTGCTACCCCCGCTGATAGACTCACTGTGTGTCCATTAGGCGAAGGTGATGACGGCAGCTGATGGTGGTGGTGGTGGTGGTGATGGTGCTGTGACGGCGGCATGTACTTCATCTCACCCTCGGTTGCCGACCTCGGCGACGGACTGGTGTGGTACCCTCCGCCACCGATACTCGCGTTCACTATATTCATCACTCCGACACCGGAACCGTCTAACTCCGAAGACACGGCAGTACTAGCTGGCATGTAAGTCGTCGTAGCCATAACACTCTACACTGATCTAAATTGTAAAAGACCGAACGGACGGCGCGCAGCCGGCTCATGTGTAATGCATGCCGAGTGCCTGTCGACTGGCGCTGGCGGTCCTGAGCTCTCCTCGCTCCCCCCGCCTGCCATTGGCCGCTCGTGACGTAGCACGCAGCTCGCTCTCTCATTGGTCGTCTCTCCGGGCCCGCCCCTCACCCCCTCCCCCTCTTTGTAGCCTGGCAACGCCACTCCGATCTTCTATTGATTTAAACTTCACTTCGCTGTCGAGCTATTACAATACTATTAGACCCGTATTATTACAATTAATACCACCTTCGACCAAAAGTGAAAAACACCGCTGGGCCGCGCGCAGTGGGTCACACTCGATCGATGCTGTTTTGTCATTCAATCTGATACAACGTCGCGTCCACGGAAACATCTCCTACACGACACGTCACGTCACGACGTAGCGACGCTGCTGTATCATGTCATATCTCGTATCATACACATACCACTGGGTTATGTGGGAATATATAAATACGTGTACAAACAAAACTGTACTACTGTAAATTATGTAGTACATTGTACAAACAATAATTATTGTAAATCAAACTCAATGGAAAACCGTTGAATATTGTTGAGTTATTCTTTAGTAATTATGTACTTATTTAGACTTCCCTCACAACTTTGGACAGATTGACAATCTGTAGAATACCAAATTAACTTAAGAATAAAATTAATCATCTAAAGTTCTTATATTGTCTGTGTTTTAAATTTAGCGTACTTCAGGATTTATTATTTCCTATTTTTCATCATACTGTATAACTGCTGCTGCATTCCAAATTGATAAACAATAATATACTCTTAATAAATCGTACCGTACTGTAAATATAATGTAGCCTAGTAGGCTACCTTAAATGTCTTCGAATGCAAAATGTTTTATGCGTCAAGCTCTTTTTTTATTAACTAGTTAAACAGTTTTTTCTATTAACTACCTACTATTCAATAGAAATTGTTGCACCCTAACAGCACTTAAAATTATCGTCAACTCCTTGTATAACCTTATCTTTTATTAGCCTATATAAGCTTTATGATAATTAACTAGCAATAAAACTATACGGTCTATAATTTACATTGCTTATCAAAATAATTCTCTATTCGTGAGAAAAGTAATTAGACTATATTTTCCGAATTGGTTTTATAATAAATATGGTTAGGCCTATATATTATGGTAGTGGACTTAATATTGCATAAATAAAAGTATATTTCCTTGAAATAATGGGCAGTAAATAAAACCATTTGAATTAAAATTTGTCTTAAGTTTAATGGCATACCTTATTTATCAAATATGTACCAATGGTATGCCATATTGATTTGATTGGATTTCATAACTAGCCTGAGCTTATAATTATCAACTGTGTAGGCCTACCTATGGTATGCGTAATTTGATTATTGTTTTAGTTGGATTGGATAAGTAGTCTGAGTTTATATCCCTAGTGTTTTTCGTTAAAATCATGTGTCATGATTTGTTATACACAGTTAAAATATTTAATTTACTTACGTATTAAACTACTCTTAATTTAAATAATCTCCGGATTGCCTTCTAATTAAATTCTGACCTTTAACCTTACTCTAAAACTATAATAGTATAAATAATAGCATAATATATATAATATTGTATTGATTACTATTTATTTTCCTTTTTATTTCCCAAGTCTTACATATTGAACTTTGTTATGGCTTTGTTCCCGTTGAATGTATTTTATGCAGTCAAAATATTGGATTTATCTTATACAGTAAAACTGTCTAGTGTTATTATTCTTTGTAATTCATTTTAAATCCATTAAATCATTACCTTACTCTGAATATTGACGCACTACTGTATTTAATAATATACAGCATACTGTTAATCATGATATATTTAGTAATTGAAAATAAAACCTTGTTTGGATTCTTAATAATATATTTGCATGTGAATATACAGTTAATATGAATTATTTACAATCACATAAACAAGAAACCGAAATAGGGTATATTAAAGATGTTTGTTCAGTAATGTGTATACGTATGATTTTGTCAAGTTAAATGCAAAAAAACTATTTTCCTTATTTTACAATACTTCCCTGTTCTCATTTTTACGCATTGGCTGTTTGTACAATAATGTTGAGTTTAGTACAACATTATATTTATAATGTAAGTGATGACAAACCATAAACAATCAATTGCATTTAACAATTAACCCTACACTCATGATTCTTTTATTCAAAATTAGTTTCAGCATAGTCAACGATAGTTATGGAATGATTTGACAAAGAACAATCTTCCTAGTCGTGTGTAGGTATACGCTATGGAGGCAAGGTGCGTATGAGTGTGCGTATGAGTGTGCGTGTGAGTGTGCGTGTGGGGGTGGTACGGAGAGGGGGAGAATGTCGTGTAGAGGGGGAGGGGGATCTGCGCCATTGACAGCTTGTAACGCATGAATATGCATAGCCTAGCGCTAAGATTCTCAATTATTTATTTGTTAATTACACTCTAGTTGTCACTTAATCTCGCGCTGCTGAACCGGTAGCTGCGTGGTGTCACGGGTTTTGTCACGGCGTTGTCACATGATACAGGGTAGTTATACTGTGCCATGGTAGTTGTCACGGTGTTGCCACAAGATACAGGGTGGTTAGACTGTGTCACGGGCTTGCCACATGATACAGGGTGGTTAGACTGTGCCATGGTAGTTGTCACGGGCTTGCCACATGATACAGGGTAGTTCTATCGTGTCACGGGACAAGATACAGGGTTTTAGACTGTGTCACGGGCTTGCCACATGATACAGGGTAGTTCTATCGTGTCACGGGACAAGATACAGGGTGGTTAGACTGTGTCACGGGCTTGCCGCATGATACAGGGTAGTTCTATCGTGTCACGGGACAAGATACAGGGTGGTTAGACTGTGTCACGGGCTTGCCACATGATACAGGGTAGTTCTATCGTGTCACGGGACAAGATACAGGGTGGTTAGACTGTGTCACGGGCTTGCCACATGATACAGGGTAGTTCTATCGTGTCACAGGACAAGATACAGGGTGGTTAGACTGTGTCACGGGCTTGCCGCATGATACAGGGTAGTTCTATCGTGTCACGGGACAAGATACAGGGTGGTTAGACTGTGTCACGGGCTTGCCGCATGATACAGGGTAGTTCTATCGTGTCACGGGACAAGATACAGGGTGGTTAGACTCTGTCACGGGCTTGCCACATGATACAGGGTAGTTCTATCGTGTCACGGGACAAGATACAGGGTGGTTAGACTGTGTCACGGGCTTGCCACATGATACAGGGTAGTTCTATCGTGTCACGGGACAAGATACAGGGTGGTTAGACTGTGTCACGGGCTTGCCACATGATACAGGGTAGTTCTATCGTGTCACGGGACAAGATACAGGGTGGTTAGACTGTGTCACGGGCTTGCCGCATGATACAGGGTAGTTCTGTCGTGTCACGGCTAAACTACTTATTGTCATAGATTTAGATAGCATTATTTTAGGTGGCACTTAAAATTTATAATACAAGAGATATATTTAGTAATTCCAGGGTTTACAGTTAAAATTATGGCAAAGGTTGCAACTTACTACGTTAGAAAATGGAAGAATAAAAAGACATTATGCTATTTTTTAATCTTTTTAAGTGGGGTTTAGTAGGAATTATTTTTTTATTATTTTTCAAAACTGATGTGAAAAAACGTAAATATAATTTGAGAGTAAACACCTGTCTGTCCATATTTGGATACGGCCCAGGTACCTTAAACAAAAAGTATAGTGGTGCTTGACCACTGTACTTAAAGAGTTTTTATTTTTTAATTTAAGAACAGAAACTACAGTACTCTTGGACATTGGTCTGACGATCAAAATCTTTCCTAAAGAAAGTTCGCGAACCAAACACAATCATGTTTGGAAAAATCTAGTACAATAGTACAATTTTTAATTCAATAAAACCTTTTGTATAAAACAATATCATACTTCTTGGCATTTTCGGAGTTTCCTTTCGTAATTTCGTATACAAATGGAAAGATAAATAAGCCAACCTAAATAATGTAAATTTACCCATATTCTGCCACATTGTTCGTCTCTTAAGCCACTCCGTAGATGATCATCGACATTACCTTAGCTTCTTCGATGACCTGTCTTATCCTCAGACTTATCACTTATCCTCAGCTCCTAATGAGGGCGAGATAAGACCACATCGCGTGCACTCATCCCTTATCACACATCAGGACATGTTGCGGCAGGAATAAGTCTGCCATAATCACCGTCTTCCTCCCCAGCTCCTGACTGATTTTACAGCAATTAACACTGAAACTGACAAGAATCTGGCAACGCCGCCATTTTCACATAATGTGACTAATTAGTGGGGAAACAGCGGTTTTATGAGCGAATCGCGGTTTTAAAATTCGCTGATAAGTTTTCTGATAAGTATTGTTTGAAATAAAACATAAAGGGATACGGTAGAGAGAATAGCTGTAGATTAGTGATATAATACTACATAATGGCCGATATTGGCAAAAACGTGATAATGTTTTTGGTAAGAATAACAGTTGTTTATTGATATTACAATTTATATGCAATAGATTTAAATTTGGACAAAAATTGAAAAGTCGTGACTGTAATTGTAACTTATTAGTTGTGTAAACTTAAACCTAGGAAATATGTGGGTGTTTGCTGGCTGTTGTATCTGTCTACAAAATGGAACATTATTTTTGATGTATTTTTATTTATATGAATTAAGTTATGTACATCGTATGTGAGTAAAAACTTGGACAATTCTTCCAAAAATCTAAAACACTAAGATACGCAACCCTTGACTAAGCAGGGCCTAGTAATCCCTATTCACTGTCCCAGCTAATATGAGCCTTTTTAGCGAAAGTAGGCTACATAATTTACTCTAATATAGCTTCCCTACAAATTTCTTCTACAAAATATTCTACAAAATAATTTGACAACAAATTAAAAAATTACCATTGTATAGTTTTAGGTAAAAAGTTTTAGGTAAATTATCATCTAAGGCTCCGAATATATATATTGTATTGTATACAAACTAATGCACACTTGAAGGTTTATTGA